CTCTGTGCTGACAGCTCAGAGCCTGGAGCCTGCTTTGGATTTCTCTTTCTCTCTGCTCCTCCCCCACTCACATTCTGCCTTCTCTCTCAAAAATACATAAACATTTAAAAAAATTTTTTAAATAAAAAGAGCACCCTCCTCCTCTGATCCCTTCTTACCTCATCGGTTGCTGCTCTTGATTCCCTGAGGACGTCTGTGGAGGCTGTGGTCTCTGTTCTCCCCTCCTGCCCCGGGCCTTAACAAACCACCGTGCTGGCAGATTCTGGGGGCCCTGAGCTAGCTTTAGACAGACACCTGCCCACTCAACTGGATGTCCATCCGTCACCTCCATATCACCATGCTGACCCACCGGTGGGTTGGCCTGACCTCCCTCGGCCTCCCGTCTCAGGGATGGCAGCCTCGTCATCCCTCCAGCAAAGCCTGGGACTTTCAACTCCCTTCATTCACACTCACATCCAACCTGAAAATACATCTGCCCTCGCGGCCACCTGTAAATCAACGCACTCGCCACCAGCTGTATTAATGACCTGGCCCAACCCCCACCACCTCATGCCTAGATTATTCCAGCAGCTTCGGCCGCTCCCCCTGCTTCCAGCTCTGCCCAAGTTTGTCTCAACATAGTCACTGCGACCTTTTAATTTTTTTTTAATGTTTATTTGTTTTTGAGAAAGAGCACAAGCAGGGGAGGGACAGAGAGAGAGAGAGAGGGAGACACAGAAGCCGAAGCAGGCTCCAGGCTCCGAGCTGTCAGTACAGAGCCCAACACGGGGCTCAAACTCACAGATTGGGAGACCATGACCCGAGCCGAAGTCAGGATGCTTAACCACTTAACCGACTGAGCCACCCAGGTGCCCTGAAGTCACTGCAACTTTTTAAACACGTGTCCCCCTCTGCACAAGCTCTCAAAGCCTCCTGGTCTTGGATCTGGTGCTGGTGCCACTCTCCACCCCCCCCACCCCAGGTACCCCCTTTCTCTTGAGATTTCTGCTCCCGTGTCACCCGGAGCCCCTCAACTGACCCCTACTCTTTTCCTTATTCCACTTGTCGTTTTCCACACAATTTATCCCATCAGATTAGTTTGAGCCTACTAGAATGTGAGTAGCACAGAGGTGGGAGTCGCCACTGCTTTGTAGCTGTGTTGAGTCTAGAAAAGCCTGGTCCTCGGAAGACACAGACAATAAGTGCTGAATGAAGGAACTAAACTATCAGAGAGGTAGGGAGGATTCGTACGGTCCCTGTACGTCAGTGGAAACTTCTGTGAACTGCTGGGTCAGAGAGCAGGTCTCTCTTTCAGAGCAGCTTTTTAGCCTTCAGAGAAAAAAAACCACACCTCGAACCATGAGACCAGCCCCGGAAATTTTCCCTCATCGGGTCACTCAAAACCTACCAACTCGATAGCCATTAGGACACCTCAACGTTGTTTCCAAACAGATTTGCTTCCTTCCTAGCTGAGCTGAATAGAAGTTCAGGTCCGCCTGGAACCTCAGACTGGGACCTCATTTGAAAAGGTCTTTGCACGTGTAGCTGGTTAAGAAGAGATCATACTAAATCCAGGGACTGGTGTCCTCATCAGAGAGACAGTCGCACACAGAAGAAAGATGACCCGGCTGCAGGTGGAGGCAGGGAGGCAGAGACTCGAGAGATACATGTACAGGCCAAGAAAGGTCAAGGGCTGGCACCAGATGCTAGGAGACAGGCATGGAACATTCTCTCGCAGAGCCTCGCCGGCAAACCCTGCTGACACCTGGATTTCAGACTTCTAGCTTCCGACACGGTGACAGAATACATTTCTGTTGTAAACCACCCAGTCTGTGATTCCCCACAGCAGCCCTGAGAACTCAATGTACTAGTCAAGTTGTGGTGTTTTTGTTGTTGTTGTTTTGTTTTACTTCTACTGGCCTTTTGTGAAGCTGAGATCTGGGTCAATTTCTGCAGGGACAGTTCTGGTAAAAGGTTTTGCCGACCTTCCTTTGGGGACCCCCTTCAAAAGGCATCCTCCTGTGACCAGAATGTAGAAGAATTTGCCTCAAACGTGTCTGTCCTGAGCTTCATGCTCACAGGAAACAGATCCACCAGAACGTGCTTCTTGTCCAAGGATTCCAGCTCCTGTGCCTGACACTCCAACCGCCACACGGTTCTCTGTCCTCCTGCCCACTCACATCCTAATCCAGGTGGTCGCCACCTCCCCAAGCCCCTGGAGAGCCTTCAACTGCTCTGGTCCTTTCTCTCTTGCCTCTCCTAAGCCACCCACTACTCAGCAGCCTGAGGGCCCTTTGCAAAGTGACAGATCTAATGGTTGTCGTTCTGATTAAGAGCCTTCTGCCTGCAGCCTCCTGTGCCTGTGAGTCAAGTTTGAGCGTGTCTGTCAGCCACAGTAGATGGGATCCCTGCTGCAGATGCAGCTTATCACGGACCCTCCCGGGTTCCCTCTCCAGGGAACTGCAACCCTGTCGCAACTGTCTTCCCTCTTCCTCGGACACTGAGTGAAGAGAACTAAGGGAGCATCATAACCAGTGTTCCAGAAGATACTCAAAAGAAAAACAAAGACGAAAGTCCTCTGCAATTACGTCCGGAAACATGAACGGGGATAAAGAAAAGAGTCAAGACTCGACAAATCAAACCTCAATGCGCAGGCCCAGCGTGCTGGCCACAGGGTTAAGGGCTGGCGGTCTGAACACAGAACACAGCACACAGCCACTTAGTGGGGGGTGAAAAAAAAAAAAAAAAGAGTCAACTTTAATCGTAACTGACCAAACTGTGTCCAGGAATGTCTCCAAACAACTGAACAAAAGAAACACGATAAAATTTTCTATTGAAGAAACCAAGTTTTTGCCAGCCCCAGTGCTTCCGAGGGCTGGGCCAAGACCAGCCCATTCCCGAGGCTGGTTCCATCCCCCACGCAAGTTTCTCAT